GGGAGTTCTAGTCCTGCCTTAGGCATGAAAGGCAGCTGGGTGACTCTGGGCCAATCACCAGGAGACAGTGAGTTCTAGTCCCACCTTAGGAATGAAAGCCAGCTGGGTGACTTTGGGCCAATCACCAGGAGACAGTGAGTTCTAGTCCCACCTTAGGCATGAAAGCTGGCTGGGTGACTCTGGGCCAATCACCAGGAGACGGTGAGTTCTAGTCCCACCTTAGGCACGAAAGCTGGCTGGGTGACTCTGGGCCAATCACCAGGAGACGGTGAGTTCTAGTCCCACCTTAGGCACGAAAGCTGGCTGGGTGACTTGGGGGCAATCATTCTCTCTCTCTCTCACAACCCACCTCACAGGGTTGTCGTTGTAGGGAAAAATAAGAGAAGGAAGGAATCTTCGACACCTCGAGTTACTTATTAAAAAAAAAAACCACGATAAAAGGTGGGATAAATCCACCCCTCTAGTGCAGGACAGCCTCCCTGCTTGGCCCAGAACGAGGGGGACCCCCGGAGCGGAAGAAACTCACCCTGGTCACTTAAGCGGCGCTGCTTGGGGTTGGCGGAGATGCTGCGTTGTACCTTGTGCGAAGGGGAGGGGACCATGCTGTTGGCGAGCTCCGGCTGGGGCCGAGGCTTGAGGGTACTGCTGTCGTTGTCGAGCTGGAGGAGCAGGGAAAAGGGGGGGGGGGATGTCAGAAAAGGCTCCAGCCCCCAGAGGGGGCTTCTCATGCAAGCCCTCGCAGGCAGAGTTCCCCCCACCCCACCCCCAAAAGAAGCGAAGATGTTTTCCTTTGCACGGAGGAAAAGAGAAGTTTATGGTGGGACTGCCGGAGCGTGGAACAGAAAACTGGGTTAACGAAAAAGGGGCAGCTTTCTTTTGGAACCGAAGCATCTTTTGCAACTGCGTTGGCTGCAAAAAGAAATTAAAAAGTTTCTTCTTCCCATCTCTTTTCTTCTTTCTTTCTTCACTTTTTGTTTTTATTTCTTCTTTGCAAAACTTGGCAAACTTTTATCTTCTTTGCAAAGCCTCCCTATCTCTTTCCTTCCTTCCTTCCTTCCTTCCCTCCCTCCTTCCTTCCATCCACACCTCATCTCATCTATCTCTTTCCTTCCTTCCTCTTCTATCCACACCTCATCTCCTTCCTTCCCTTTCTATCCACCTCATCTCCTTCACTCCTCATTTCCATCTTCCTTCCTTCCTTCCTCCCTCCCTCCCTCCCTCTCTCTTTTACACTACTTCCATCCAAAAAGGCATTTTAACCCTGCCTGTTCTCCATGGCTTATTTCTTTTTAAATTTTCCAGGGAGAGGATTTATGAACAAAAGGGGCATTTGAGACTTGCTGTGTGAAAAACGCAAACTGCAGGGAAAACTTTCTTAGAAGATGCATGAGGACCGGAAGGCTGCTAAGAAATAAAGAATAAAATCCTCTTATCCAGGGATCTCCAGCGATATGACAAAAAAGAGGTCCAGGGTTGCCTCTCATTGCATTCAGCGGGGCGGCACCTGTCAATCACACGTTTCACCAGGGCAGCCTGGCATGGCAGCTGCAAAATTCTATCCCTGAGAACGAGCAGCAGCCAGCAAGCCCAGGGGTGGGTGGAGGCTGCTGCCAACTGGAGGCAGGCGTTGGTGCCAGGTTGCCACATGCACAGAGTAAGTTGGAAGCTTCTACTTAAGACATTCAGCAGAATTAACAGAATATTTGGAAGGGAGCTGGGAGGCCTTCTAGTCCAGCCCTCTGCTCAAGCAGGAAACCCTTTCAGACAAATGGCTGTCGTGATTCTTCTTAAAATCCTCCGGTGTTGGAGCACCCACAACGTTTGGAGGCCAGCTGCTCCGCTGGTTAATTGTCCCCACTGTCAGGAAGTTTCTCAATTCCAGATCGCTTCTCTCCTTGACTAGTTTCCATCCGTTGCTTCTTGTCCTGCCTTCAGGGGCTTTGGAGAAGAGGTTGACGCCCCTCTTCTTTGGGGCAGCCCCTCAAATACTGCAAGACGGCTATCCTTTTTGGATATTGTACCCTATGGCTATTAATTAAGTGTTGTGACTGATGATTCTTGACACTTGACGAATGTCTCTTTCCTTTTATGTACACTGAGAGCTTATGCACCAAAGACAAATTCCTTGTGTGTCCAATCACACTTAGCCAATAAAAGAATTCTATTCTATTCCATTCTATTCCATTCTATTCTATTCCATTCCTTATTCTATTCTCTATTCTATTCTATTTTCTATTCTATTCTGTTTTCTATTCTATTCTATTCTGTTTTCTATTTCTTATTCTATTCTATTCCCTATTCTATTCCTTATTCTATTCTATTCCCTATTCTGTTCTATTCTATTCTATTCTATTCTATTCTATTCCATATTCTATTCTATTCCATATTCTAGTCTATTCTATTCCCTATTCTATTCGTTATTCTATTCTATTCCTTATTTTATTCTATTCCTTATTCTATTCCATTCCATTCCATTCCATTCCATTCCATTCACTCTACTCTACTCTACTCTACTCTACTCTACTCTACTCTACTCTACTCTATCACCCCTGGTCCTCGTTTTTATTAAACTGGACATACCCAATTCCTACAACTGTTCTTCATATGTTTTAACCTCCCGCCCCCTAATCATCTTTGTTGCTCTTCTCTGCACCCTTTCCAGAGTCTCAACATAAACGGAAGAGCTGACTTCAACAGGAGAAAAGCAACATGACCAACCAGCCTGCTTGCTTGTGTGTGTGTGTGTGTGTGTGTGTGTGCAAACCGCCCCTGCAGGTTGCCCTTCAAAAGCCAGGTGCATGTGGGCAACCACCTCCCCTCCCTCCAATCGCACTCACCTCTGAGTTTTTGTAACCTAGCAGCAGGTACGTCGCCATCACTTCATTGTACTTCTGGCTGACTAAGGACTCTTGAATTTCTTCCCGGGTGTAGCCCATAGAAATCATGAGCTCTGGAGGGTGAAGGAGGAGAAGGGGGCAGGGGAGAGGAGGAGGAGGAGGAGGAGGGTCAAAACCATCTCGCAGGAAAGTTGCAACCCCTCCCCCAGCTGCTCAGAAGGTGGAAAGTCCCACCTAGCAATCATTCTCTCTCAGCCCAGTCCACCTCACAGGGTTGTCTTTGTAAGGGACACCCATCAAATGAGGATCGCCTAAAACCCAGGGGTGCCAAACTCCATTTCCTTGAGGGTCGCATCAGGTGACAGGATTCCAGCAGTTCCCCCACAATTCAATCACGAGTCTCGAGCCAAACTTCCAAAACTTCAAAAGGATTTATTGGGAGTTCCCATGTCCGGGGCTGCCTGGGTGTAGCCGACTCTGAGACACATCATTTATTGTCACCCTTGACCCTGGTTTCCCCCCCCCCCAACCCCTGGGTGTATCGTAATTCATATTCTCCAATGGGACACCTCCATAGCCCAGAGTCATCCATCAGGCTCTCCAGTTAGAATTTTGCAAGGCAGAAACTTCAGTCACCTAGTTGCTATCTTTGAAAACATTGATGGAATGCAGTTTCGGTTTTGCAAGCTGCCGCACGGCTCCCCCCTCCCTTTCTGTTGGCAACTCTAACAAGACCAGAGAAATATTTTATGAGTTGACATCAGGTTTGTGTTTGACCTTGGGAGGGGAAACGTGGCAAAGGTGGGCGTGGCCAGCTCGACGCAACCCCGAATTTGGCCCGTGGGCCTTGAGTTTGGCACCCCTAGCCTGGCCTGACCCATCACCCTTCTCCTCATGTTGTTACCTGTCCGCCGGGGGTCCTTGTAGTCTGGAAGAGGTTCCACGTAAGGCTTCAATTCGTCGTCCTCGTGACCCACGTTCATCCAGCGGTCTTTCATGATTTGCTGCGGGGGGGGGGGGGGGGGGGGAGGAGAGGCAGATGTTTAGAACCACATAGAGTGTGTGTGTGTGGGGGGAAACAACGGCCCCTTTTATGAACTTGTGGACTTCAAAGCCCACGCTGGGCTCAGGAATTCTGGGAGTTGAAGTCCACCAATCATTTTATGGGGCCCATCGTTCTGACGTAGAGGGTGGATGGCTCAGAAAGTCTCCTGTTTTTTGTTTAAAGCACGCACACAACTCATATTTCTGTTAGAAGGATATTAAAGTAAGAATCAAGTGTTTTTTTTCCAAAGCTGGAGCCTTTTTTTCTTTGAAAAGTGGAAATGCCACCACTGGATGTGGTGGTGGGAAGCTCCCGTTAGGTTAAGGTTGACTCAACCTTCCGTGGTGGGTAAAATGAGGACCCAGATTGTTGGGGGCAAGAGGCCGATTCTGTAAACTGCTTAGAGAGGGCTAGAAAGCACTGTGTAGTGGTATATAAGTCTAAGTACCATTGCCCTCCCTCCCTCCCTTCCTTCCCTCCCTCCCTTCCTCCCAGTGGTTAGAATCCAGAATTGCAGGCCCACTGCCAGCAGTTTGATCCTGACTGGCTCAAGGTTGACTCAGCCTTCCGTCCTTCCAAGGTGGGTAAAATGAGGAGCCAGATTGTTGGGGGGGAAAGAGGTTGACTCTGTAAACCGCTTAGAGGGCTGTGAAGCAGGATATAAGTCTACGTACTATTGCCCTCCCTCCTTTCCTTCCCTCCCTCCCAATGGTTAGAATCCAGTATTGCAGGCCCGCGGTGGCCAGAAAGTTCTGTAAAACGGGACAAAACTCATTTGGCAACTGTCCTGCTTAGGAACGTAAAATCTGGGCTCAACTGCGGTCGTAAGTTGAGGACTGCCTGTATGCCTGCTTGAGCAGAAAACCAGCTCTGGTAAACAACAGGCAAGACGTGCCAACGTTTCCAAAGGAGGTTTTTCTGCCTTGCATTCTCCCTCCCTCCCTCCCATTTTCCAGAAAAATCGGGGGCGTATTTGCTAATGTGTGTCCACCCACCCACCCCTGGGAAAGCTGCTTGTCTGAAAACTGCTTTTTTCCCCCCCTTCCTGCTCTCAAATCCACGTGAACGCTCTTCACCCTGGAGTGGCAGAACTGATGCCTCGTGGTCAGCAAGCAGCTGGTGTAAAACAGCCTCCCTGTTGGGAAAGCTTAAGGAAAAATAATAATAATAATAATAAAAGGCTTGGGAAATTACCTCTTCACACCGGGAAGCCATTTGGGGCCCTTGAAGCCAGACAAAAGGGGGTGGCAAAGGAGAGGAAAATGAATGGGGCCTTCAAAGAACCAGCCAGGATGGGTTTCAGAAAATTAAAGAGTAAACCCGACAATAATAGTGGTGGCGAGAAACGGTTTTGGCAAGTCAAAACGCTCGGAAAACGGGAGATGCTCCCTAAAAGTCACCGTGGTTGTTTAACACATGAGGCTAAGCCAGAATAAACCAGTTTTGGTCGCCACGATGTGAAAAAGATGTGGAGACTCTAGAAAAAGAGTGCAGAGAAGAGCAATCCAGAGGATTGGGGGACTGGAGGCTACAACACACGAAGAACGGTTGCAGGAATTGGGTATGTTTTGTTCAATGAAAAGAAGGACTAGGGGAGACATGATAGCAGGGTTTCAATATTTCAGGGGCTGCCCCAAAGAAGAGAGGGGACCAGCCTATTCTCCAAAGATCCTGGAGGCAAAGGATGGAAACTAATCAAGGAGAGGAGCAACCTGGAATTAAGGAAAGAAATTTCCTGACAGTGAGAGAACAGCCTCCTTCCAGAAGTTGTAGGTCCTTCAACACTGGAAGTTTTAAAGAAGAGATTGGACAACCATTTGTCTGAAGTGGTACAGGGTTTCTTGCCCGAGTAGAGCGCTGGACTATCAGATTAACTGAGTTGGAAGGGACCTTCTAGGTCATCTAGCCCAACCCCCAGCCCAACAATTTCTGACAGGTGGCAGTCCAGTCTCTTCTTGAAAGCCTCCAGTGATGAATCTCCCACAGCTTCCCAAGGCAACTTCTGTTCCATGGGTTGATTGTTCTCCCTGTCAGAAAGTTTCTCCTTGTTTCCAGGTTGAATCTCTCCTTGTCCAGTTTCCATCCATTCTTCCTTGTCTGGCCTTCGGGTGCTTTGGAAAATAGCTTGACCCCTTCCTCCTCTCTGGGGCAGCCTCTCAAATACTGGAAGGCTGCTCTCCTGTCTCCCCTGATCCTTCTCTTCACTAGACTAGCCAGGCCCAGTTCCTGCCACCGTTCATCCTTTCCAACTCTGTTATATTGTTCTGTTAAACCACAACTGGCTAGGTTGGCCCAGAGTTAACAATAAGCCACTGTTGATGAATCGAAACAGCTGGGCCCCAATCACCGTGTTTCTAAAGCCACGCTTTCGGAAAAGGCAAGAACGCCAGCAAGGGAGCCAGGATTCCTGTCGCTTTCGCTGAAGACGTTTGTTGAATCACCTCCCTCCCCCAGCTCATTTTCTGCCTTTTTGAAGTGTGAAGAGGCCTTTTCTGATCCTGAAATTAGCAGCTATTCATGGCAGTGATTGATCGACCCTGTAACAAAGGGAGAAGCTGGCGCCCGTTTCCCGCCCCCCCCCAACCACTAATTGTGAAATTAAATTTTGCAAGATCCTGATGGACTTGTTGATTGAACAACGCATTGTGCAAAGATCCATGCGCTCTGCTGAAATGAGCAACGGATCCGGTGATGGAAGAGCGCTTGGCTTTTGGCCCACGACTCTGTAGCCATTAACAAGTAGTCCTCGACTTGCGACTACAACCGAGCCTAACATTTGTGCAGTTGTTAAGTGAGTTTTGCCCCATTTTTACAATTCTTGCCACCGTCGTTAAATGAATCACTGCAGCTGTTCATTTAGTAACACGGTTGCTAAGTGAATCTGGGGGAGAGGAGAGGAGAGAGAAGGGAATGTAGAACATAGAAGAGCAGAGTTGGAAAAGATCTTGGAGGTCATCTAGACCAACCCTCAGAACGAGTAGGAGAGGCTATGCCATTTCAGGCAAGGAGATGTCCAGCCTCTTCTTGAAAACTTCCAGTGATGGAGAAGCAAGGAAAGGGAGAGGAAAGATGGAAGGAAGGGAAAAAAGATGGAGGGAAGGAAAGGAGGTAGAAAGGAAAGAAAGGAAAGAAGGAAAGGAGATAAAAGGAGAAAGAAAGGAAGATAGAAGGAAAGGAAAGAAGGAAAGGAGAGGAGAAAGAAAGGAAGATAGAAGGAAAGGAAGAAGGAAAGGAAGATAGAAGGAAAGGAAAGGAGAAAGAAAGGAAGATAGAAGGAAAGAAGGAAAGGAAAGGAGGAATAAAGGAAGATAGAAGGAAAGGAAAGGAAAGAAGAAGGAAAGAAAAAGAGATAGAAAAGAAGGAAAGGAAAGAAGGAAAGGAGATAAAAGGAAAAAGAAAAGAAGATAGAAGGAAAGGAAAGAAGGAGAGGAGAAAGAAAGGAAGATAGAAGGAAAGGAAGAAGGAAAGGATAAAGAAAGGAAGATAGAAGGAAAGGAAAGGAAAGAAGGAAAGGAAAGGAGAAAGACAGGAAGATAGAAGGAAAGGAAAGGAAAGAAGAAGGAAAGAAAAGGAGATAGAAAAGAAGGAAAGAAAGATAGAAGGAAAGGGAAAGGAAGAGAAGGAGATAGAAAGGAAGGAAAGAAAGATAGAAGGAAAGAGAAAGGAAAGAAGGAAAGGAGATAGAAAGGAAGGGAAGGAAAGAATGATAGAAGAAGGAAAGGGAAGGAAATTAGTAGAAGGGAAGGAGAAGAGAGGATAAATTTTGCACAGAGGAGCCCATCAAAGGCCACGGCAACCGCGGAAAGGCTGGGCTTCCCACGGGTGACTGCTCAAGATTAATCCCGTACTTCTCCAAAAGCAGCTTTGATTAACTGCCACGCAACAATCTTGAGAACATCCGGCAGGCGAGGAACAGTCAACCTTTGGGCAAGTCACGACTCCGGACATCTGTTGATGAATTTTGGATGAGCCGTGCCACGTGGCTGCCAAAAGGGGCCCTGAGGTCAGCACTTTGCGCGCGCACACAGGGTTTACTGCATTAACTCACCACGTTCACACAATACATGGGACCACCATTCACCAAACAGTCTGGCTTTTGGAAGCCCCAAAGAGATGACCCAAGATTAATAGATAGTGGCTGGTAGGACTGCACTCCAGAGGGTTACGGTCATTGCCCAGAGGATTATTGGTTGCCCTCTCCCCTCTTTGGAAGAGCTTTATAGCTCCCGCTGCCTTAAGAAAGTTCAAAACATTCTCAAAGATCCATCTCATCCTGGGCACCCTTTTTTTGAACTATTACCATCTAGCGGACAATACAGGATAATAAAAACAAGGACAAATAGGCTGAAAAACAGCATCTATCCCAGGGCAGGAACTCTACTGAATTCTACTGTATAGTGCAACATTCATGCAATATCAGGGGTTTTTAATTCAATGTATAGCATGCGAAGGATGTGTGTTTGTATTTTATTTCCATAGTCATAAATTGGACACTGAAGATGGTATTTAATTTTGTTGCATGAGGGACAATGACAATAAAGTCAACGAAACTAAACATCACCCACCCACTTGATGGCCAGGAGTCTTTCACTGCCCAGGCCAAGTGTGTGTTCTGTGAACTCCACCTACTGGCTACGTTTGTGCAAGACAAGCAACCTAGCCAGGCGCTTCGCCAAGCACAGGCAGTCCTCTACTTATGACAGTTTGTTTAGTGACTGTTCAACGTTACAATGGCACTGGAAGGAAAAAAAAAGGGACTTGGGGACCAATTTTCACACCTATGACCATTGCAGTGTCCCCGTGGTCCAAATTCAGACACTTGGCCACTGACTCGTATTTATGACGGTCATGACATTTCCCCGGGGGGAGGGTTGTCACATGATCCCCTTTTGCGACCTTCCAATGAGTGAAGTCAACGGGGGGGAAGCCAAATTCACTTAATGCACTTAGTGACTCGATGAAGAACAACTGCACTGATTCACTTAACAGCTGTGGCAAAACTCACTTAATGAATGTCTTGCTTAGCGATGTAAACTCTGGGCTCCATTGTGGTCATTAAGTCGAGGGCTACCTGTAAACCCTTATCCCTCTTCATCAAAAAACAAACCATTACCAACATCTTAACCAAACGGGAAGCTCTTCCTTCTCACACCTTTAGCACTGGTGGAAAAAGGGCTGAGATATCATCTCTGCTACAATCTATAGATCTATATAAGAGCGAAAGGCCACTCAGGAATCATCACAAAATTTCCAGAACCGTCAAGCCTACAAACTTGACATTTGGCACCTATGTTCCTCTTGGCTCACTAAGAAAGGATTTTTCCAAATGACCCTCAGAGCATTTAGAGTATTTCCTATATTATTATTATTATTAACACGCTCTGATGCTAAGGAGTTCTACTCCCCCTCCCCACCTGACATAAAATCTGTTCCAAGTGCAAAACACAAGCAGAGGAGAGGAGTTTCAGTTTCAGAGCACCAAGCAGCTTTAGTACAGAACAATTGAGCTAAGCCACGCCCAGGCTCCTTGCTGTCCCCTTCTTGCTCAGAAAGCAAATATTCTTTCAGTTTCCAAACAGCCCTCAACTCTCTCACACACTGACAGGATGCTAGCCAGATGAATACCAATGGATGCTGGTAGGCAGAGGCAGAATTTTTCCCCCTTATTTTCCTCCCCGAAAACTAAGCCTGACCACATAGTTTCGTAGCAAAGCATGGGTATCGAGCTAGTCGTTAGATAAACGATTGAAACAAAAAAATGGAGTGGCCTTGTTGAGATTTGCTATTGATTGTGGGCAGAGTTAAGGAGGTGACCATACTTTGTCCTCTTCTACCCTTTCACCCCTGGGCAGCTGTGCCTGCTGGGATGCGGAGTGATCAAATTCCCAATTTTTACAGCCCTTACATCCGGATTCTTCTCCAGCAGATGGGTAGGAATTAAACCAGTCAGAACCGACTGGGGACGGGGGGACATTAATTAGCCTGGGAGACATGGTTATGGGTTCAACCCCTCCCTTAATTAATCCAGGGAGACATGTTGTGCAGACAATAGGGCCTCATTGAGGTTAGATGAACCAGCCTCAACGACTTTGCAAAAACGTAGCCCGTCTCAGTAGAAGACATCCAAGGCTGATGGCTCCCTGACCTTGGTGGTTTCCTTGCAGACATTTCACGCCCCAGCTAGAAGCCTCTGTGGGGCAGTGGTTAGAGTGCAGTACTGCAAGCTACTTCTGCAGCCAGCTGCCTAGAGTTTGGCAGTTCAAATCCCATCAGGCTCGTGGTTGACCCATCCTTCCATCCTTCCGAGGTGGGTAAAATGAGGACCCAAATTGTTGGGGGGCAAGAGGCTGACTCTGCAAATTGCTTAGAAAGGGCTGGAAAGCGGCATATAAGTCTAAGGGCTAACAGGATCAGTGCTAGATGGGAGTGGGGTTTGAAAAGGAGAAGGAGAAGGAGAACTGTGGGGTCCTTGGTGCTCTCTGAGCTTGGTGGTTTTCTTGCAGACGTTTCATGACCCAACTAGGTAACATCATCAGTGCTTGAATTGAGGGGGCTTTGCTTTACTTGTTTATATACAAGTAGCTTGCTTGCAGAGAGGAAGCCCTTCCCCCTTCTAGCACTGATGAGATTGCCCAGTTGGGCCATGAAACGTCTTCAAGAAAACCACCAAGCTCATAGAGCACCATAGATCCATCGTTTCAGCCCTGAGCTACAAAATAATTCTCTTTGATTGATCTCCAAGGATCCTTCGGGAGGCTCCTTCCCAAGAAACTCCAAAGGGGGGGGGTACCCGATTTTTATTAGCGTTTCCTCAGGGCCCACTTCCACGTGCTCACCTCTAAAGTGCCTCTCTTGCTAGGGTTCAGGATGAGGAATTTTTTCAGCAGGTTCTCGCAGTCCGTGGACATGTAGAAGGGGATGCGATACTTTCCCCTCAAAACCCGTTCTCGCAGCTCCTGAAAAAGGAAAAGTGGTTTGGGGGGGGGGGGAGAGACACAAACATTTATTTTTAGCAGGACTAGGAAAGGACCGTTGCAGGCGTGCACCTATTCTCCTTCAAGAGAGCTAGAAGCTTTATGTTAAATGTTTTTTTTTGAAAAAATATCTTAATTGCAATATATGTTTCTGAATTGTGAGCCACCCAGAGTTGTTTACTGAGATGGGGAGCTATGGAAAATCCAATCCAATCCAAACAATAAATATGATTTGCACGGGAGGAGAGAGGTGGGTTCTTGTAGATGTGTCGGTGGCCTAGAGGTGGAGCTCTCGCCTCACAATCAGGAGGCTGTGAGTTCGATCCTAGGTAGAGGCAGATATATTTCTCTCTCTGAGAATATCATCTGCTGAACAAAACTCGGTACTGGCGACAGGAAGGGCATCCGGCCAGTAAAAACACTCTTGCTAGCTCCATTCAGTTGCTTGGACTCCACCCGCAAGGGATTATGGGGGCCGTTAAATGAAGTTGCTGATGATGATTAAATCAAAACTGGGGCCCGGAGAAGTTGGTGGTTTCAGCTTGTCTCCTTCGATAACTTTTGTCATTTTTTGTGAGCACGCTGGCCCACATTTAAAAAAAAAATGAAATTCTGTTGCCTGCTCTCAAGAGAAACTAACCTTTTGGGGCTCCTGTGCCAAAAATTGCGCACATTAGCGCACACGCACTCAAGGTGCCAGCACCCAGAATGCAATGCGTGACCCCTGCGCATGCACACCCAATTCCCCCACCCCCACACCTGCACTGCGCCTCACAGGTGATTTTTCCAGCTGGTTTGAGGCCTTTGTCGGCCTCCCGGAGGCTTGGAAAAAGCCTCTGCAAGCCTTTTCAGGACGAATAATAGGCCCGTTTCGTCACTTCCGGTATTACAGGAAGTGACAAAACGGGCCTATACATCCTGAAAAATGCGCAATGAGGTAGGTTTGCCTGCGGCTCGCGTGCATAGGTTCACCATCACGGCTATATATCTACTCAAACACATATATACATGCTATATACATACACACATATATACCCGCACCCACCCACCCACCCACCCACATTAATCCATTGTGAATACATAGTGGAAAAAAGAAACATGAGAGTTTACAAGGTTGATGCTATTTGGAACAAAACTGTGACGGAAACTGGATGTTCTGCTTTGGGTACCATGAAGCCCCCTTCCAGAAGGTATTGGGTTAGCCGGCACCAGGTGTGTGGACAGCTGAGGAGAGCGAGGACTCAGATGAGGGGCCAGGACCATTAGGGACTGGACTGCTGCCTTCAGAGATTGTGGGGGCTGGCAGCAGCGATGAGGAGGTTCCCGAGGAGCCTGTGCCAGGTGTGCATGTGTGCAGGGCTGCTCGTAGGAAAGAGCAGCTATAACAGCACGGGCGACTCAGGAGTAAGGCTTTGACGGTAATGGCCCCTCCCTCAAGAGGATAAAAGCCAGCTGTGAATCGAATGCACTTTGCAGAAGGCAAAGACGTTTTGAAACTCCAGCCTCGTGGGCATTCCAGTATCCTGAGTTTGTATTTGAAGATTCTTGTATTGCAAATTATTTCTTGTCTGTTATCTTTTGGCAGGTCTCGCGCAGTTTGGCAAGGCTTGTGCTTATCACAGCTAATTATTTTGTAAAAGCATTACAAGGTTTCTGTTCCTTTTGGATTGTGTTTGATTTGTTGGAAAAGGGCGTCGGTCAGAACAGAAGGTAACAAGGAAAACAGATCGTGAAAAGGATGTGCAGCATCCCAGACAATAGGCCACGCCCCGGAGAGAAGGGAGGGAGCTGCCAATCATCTTATCCTGCCCTCCCCCCACCTGTCTCTGCACTGCCCTTCCTGTCTGAGGCAGGAGGTGGAGGTACCTTGAGGTTCTGCCCGTCAAAAGGCAGGGAGCCGCTGACCAGTGTGTAGAGGATAACCCCGAGGCTCCAGACGTCTACTTCGGGCCCGTCGTACTTCTTGCCCTGGAACAATTCAGGCGCAGCGTACGGGGGGCTCCCGCAGAACGTGTCAAGCTTGTTGCCGAACGTGAATTCGTTGCTGAAACCAAAGTCTGCAATCTTGATGTTCATGTCGGCATCTAACAGCAGATTTTCTGCCTGGGGGAGAAGAGGAGAAGCGGGTGGGAAACGGGGAGAAACTGAGAAAGGGCCAAGCAACCAAGATTATCAGGGAACTGGAGACTAAAACATACGGCGAACGGTTGCAGGAACTGGGCCTGGCTAGTCTGGTGAAGAGAAGGACCAGGGGAAGACAGAATAGCAGCCTTCCAACATTTGAGGGGCTGCCCCAGAGAGGAGGAAGGGGGTCAAGCTATTTTCTGAAGTGCCTGTAGGCCAGACAAGGAACAATGGATGGAAACTGATCAAGGAGAGATTCAACCTGGAAATAAGGAGAAACTTAGGACAATCAACTCATGGGACAGAAGCTGCCTTCAGAAGTTGTGGGAGCTTCATCACTGGAAGCTTTCAAGAAGAGACTGGACTGACACCTGTCAGAAATGGTGTAGGGACTCCTGCTTGGACCGGGGTGGTGGTGGTGGTGGTTGGACTGGATGACCTACAAGGTCCCTTCCAACTCTGTTAAAACACCAGAAGGCAAGGCAGGAAGCAATGGACGGAAACTAACCCAGGAGAGAACCAACTCACAACTAAGGAGAAACCTAGAGCTAAAGAGATTTGTCTGAAATGGTATACAGTCTCCTGCTGCAGCACAGGGTTGGACTAGATGACCTACAAGGCCCCTTCCAACTCTGTCCATCTGTATCTGTGTAGACGGAGTGGCTGTTCCTGCCTCCCGTTTCTGTACCACAGAATTGTTTTCTTAGCTCTGCTTTGTTTCGTCACCTTTTTTTTTTTGCTTTTCCCTGCAACCTCTTGTGCCATCGCTTTGCTAAACCTCTGAATTCTCTTAGGGCTGCCTAATGCCTGTTAAGATCCATGGAGCGTGGCTGTGATATTGTTATTTATCCTTATTATCTGGCCGTGGTGGATTTGGCCGCGTCAAGTCGGCCGTGGGTGAGTTGTTGGATTCTGGCTTTGAAAGCCTGAGATCTAGTTTGCTCAGGCGGCTTCAGGCTTGGAGGAAACAAGGAGGGTGTGTGTGTGTGCCTGTGTTTTCTGTGTGTGTCTTGATATTCAATATTAATGTTCACAATAAGCAGAAGGGGGCAGGGAATTTGATATAGCCGGGGGGGGGGGGGGAGAAGTGAGGATTGAGGGCAGAAGCCACCAGCTCCAGCTGTCCTGGGCTCTAACTCCAGATGCTGGCTGGCCGTGGATGAAAGGCACTTCGAGAGCATCTGGCTGGGCAAGAAAAACGTCCCCTAAGGCTGCCTTTCAACCCAAGGGCCGTCAGCCACGTTACCCCAAAACGGTTGCTGGGAAGGATCTGGTGGGGCCAGAGGCAGAAAGTCAGGCCAAGCCACAAACGTCAATCAGAAGAGCAAGGTCATCGAGAGTTGGAAGGGACCTTGGAGGTCTTCTAGTCCAACCCCCTGCTCAAACAGGAGACCCCGTACCATGCTGGACAAAACGGCTGTCCGGCCTCTTCTTGAAAGCCTCCAGGGATGGGAGCAACCACCATTTCTACAGGCAAGCAGTTCCACCGGTTAATGATTCTCAATGGTTAGGAAATATCTCCTTCATTCCAGGTTGCTTCTCCGCTTGCTCAGTTTCCATCCGTTGCTTCTGCGTCCTGCCTTCAGGGGCTCTGCCTGGAGAATAGCTTGACCCCCTCACCTGCTTTCTCCGTGAAGCCCCTCACGTCTTGGGAGGCAGCTATCATGAAGCCACCCCTCCAGCCTCCTCTTTGGTTACCCTAGATATTAGCTGCTTCGTGCAACCGTTCTTTTTTTTATATGGTTTTGGTTTTCCAGGCCTTTCATCGTCTTTCTTGCTCGCCTCTGCACTCTTTCCAGGTTTCTAAAGGGCCTTTCTCTTGAAGACAAGCTAAGACTCGCTGGCTACAGGGCCATGCCTCCTCCTTGGCGATAAAGCCCCAGGCCCCTCCTGCAGTGGGTGGGGGAGTGCCGGAGAAGCTCTTCCATCTCCACTCGAGAGCCCTTGCAAGGTCTACTCTGGTCTTGAGAACTAGATCCTTGTTCCAATTTTGTTTGAGTGCTCCCCCCTACTAAAAGCAGAGCGCGAACCCGGCCTGAGCTCCGCTTTGGCAAAGGGTAAACCGAGGCCTTCCCTCCTTTTCCCCCCCCACTTACCTTCAAGTCTCTATGTACAATGAATTTTTGGTGACAGTACTGCACAGCAGAAACTATCTGGAAGGGAAGGGGAAGAAGAAGAAGAAGGGTGAAAAAAAAAATGGCAATTTCTGCATCGGGGTAACCCAGCCTCACTCGGGTATCGCATCAACCCCAATATTTTTCAGACCCTCTTTGGGGTTGCCCCCCCCCCCCCGTCGCTCGGAGTTGGAAGGGGGAGCGAAGAAGTGGGTGCGCAGGGAGGGCGGGGGGTGTCTTTTCCAAGAAAGCAAAAACGAGCTGCATAAATTAGGCCTCATCGCGGCATCCAAGCACCAATGAGCCTCGGTGACGCAGTGGTTAGAGTGCGGTACTGCAGGCTACTTTGGCTGACTGCCGGCTGACTGCAATTTGGCAGTTCGAATCTCACCAGGCTCAAGGTTGCCTCAGCCTTCCGTCCTTCCGAGGTGGGCAAAATGAGGGCCTGGATTGTGGGGGGCAAGAGGCTGACTCTGTAAACCACTTGGAGAGAGGCTACGCACTGTGAAGTCTAAGCGCTATTGCTATCTTCCTTCCTTCCTTCCTTCCTTCCTTCCTTCCTTCCTTCCTTCCCTTCCCTTCCCTTCCCTTCCCTTCCCTTCCCTTCCTCCCTCCCTGGGATTAGAATACAATATTGCAGGCTAACTCTACCCACAGCCAGGAAGTTCAATCAGCTTAAGTTGACTCAACCTTCCACCCTTCCAAGGTGGGTCAAATGAGGACCCGGATTGTTGAGGGCAAGAGGCTGACTCTGTAAACCGCTTAGAGAGGGCTGTGAAGCACTGTGAAGCAGTATATAAGTCTAAGTGCTACTGTTAAGTGCTATCCAGAAAAGCAGGTCTGTGAAGTGGGTGGGTGGGGGTTGACTTTTCCTGGGGGAGGGGGTGCCAAAGTTCTTGCAGCAATGATCCAGTGGGGCTCCCCCATTCCTCTCTTCCCTCCCGCCCACTGCTGTTCAGTTCCCAAATCCCTTTCCCAGTTTAATTTTCCAACTCCATCTTGTTTTGCGATGTTCAGGAAGCGATTTTCACATTTTCACCCGCGACACAGCAACATCCGTTAGTTAAGGCGGCTTTATAAGGAAAGGAGAACGAGGCATGGAGGGCCCAAGAGGGAGGGGATTCTCTGGCCTGGGGAACGGGTGTTTCCGAAAGATGGCTGAATGAGAAACTGACATCCTCTCCTTTAAACCAGGATTGTGTAAGAAAGAAAACCAAAGGCAACCAAAGGCCTGGCCTTGATGTGACCTCTGGGAAATGAGGGTCAAGAGAGGAATCTGCTGCTTCGCAGGTTCTGTGAGAATTTTGCTTTCCAGTTTGGGAGGGCAAATAAGGGACGTTAAAAAAGCTCTTAAAAAGTTTGTGTTGTCAACATCTGGATGAATGGAAGGACTGTGCTAAACACCTTTGCAAACCAAAGGAAGGAAAAACCACAAGCCCAATTGGCCAATTGGACTAAAAATGGTGTTTTGGTCTGGTTGAAAAGGGGAATATTTTGTCTCTTTCATACACTCTTCAACAACACACCACTGGGGAGGCCAGCAAAGGAGGAGGATTTTTCCAGAATGAAGTTATAGCTATCACGGAATAGCAGCTTCCGTTTTCTCAAACACCCAAGCTTTTAAAAATTCAAAAAGTGGTGCTGATCCACCAGAGGATCCTAAAGGGGTGCGTTTTGGCCCAGAAGCCAAATTCAAGTGGCTGTTTCATTTCCCACAGCAGCACCATGAACTTCAAATGCCATTTCCCCCTTTTTTTGCCAGGCAGTTAATGGTGGCAGAGATCCCCTTACTGGCTTTTTCGCAGGTGAATAAAAGGTGGCGTAGCACTCACCTGTCGGAATTTTGCCCGCGCTTCCTTCTCTTTCATTCTTCCATGAGCCACTAAGTAGTCAAAGACTTCGCCTGGAGGAAGAGAGAGAAAGAGAGAGAGAGAGAGAGATAGCAATGAAGCTCTTTTTTCATTTGGAACAAAATGGCACATAAATCAGGAAAACCAGTGAGGGAGGGAGATAGGATAAGGAGCAATGGCAAGAAAAACTAACCATTTTTTTAAAATTTATTTTTTTGCTGTTGGGATACAACCACACCTAGACACATGAGGAAGTTAGGCTTGCAACAAGTGTTTCTCCACCTTGGCTAACGTTAAGATGGGTGGACTTCAACTCCCAGAATTCTCCAGCCGGAAGTCCAGCCATCTTAAAGCATGCTGGCTAGGGAATTCTGGCAGTTTCCAGCCACCTTAAAGCATGCTGGCTGCAGAATAGTGGCAGCTGAAGTTCACCCATTTTAAAAGCATTCTGCCTAAGGGAATTCTGGGGATGGAAACCCATCTTTTAAAAGCACACTGGCTGGGGAATTCTGGGAGGTGGAAGTCCACGTATCTTTAACACTGCTGACGTTGAGAGCCGTTGCTCTAAAACCGCTGATTTCTGTCTCAAACACTTTCTCAGCTGCTGCTACCAAAGCCATCTTTTTTTGGTGGGGGGGGGGGGGCAAAGCAGGCAGCACCTGGAGGAACTGAGATTGTCTCCTGCTCTACCTGACAGGTAGAGCCTTCCCACCAGGCCTCCTTCTATCCTCCCAAGAGACCCCGCTTACAGAAATTTTGCTGGCTGGACAGAAATCCCTATATGGATGGATCAGGGTATTTTAATCTGCCAGAATCAGGCGAAACCAGGAGGGGGGCCCATTTTCTGCCTGGGTGGGCCTTGATCCCCACCGGGTTTTCTTTGGGAAAAACAGCCTCCCCCCCCCACAAGCCAGCTGTCTTACTTTGATCTCATCTGTGCCATCTCCAGGTACCCCAGGAGACATGGATAGCTTTCGGCCATCTGTTGCTGGCGAAGGCTTTGGTTACCTCTAATGGACCATATGCCCTTCTCAGGAAGACTGTCTGGTGCCTCCAGGGATTCAGGGGCCACTCAATGCAGCAGGAACGAAGGGAGGGGGGGGGAGAAACACCCCCCCCAATTTACAAATCACCATCCATCCTCTTCATAACAACAAGGGGTGCTTCACACATACACACCCTTTTTTTTTTTAGCATCAGATTTAAATTGCCGTTTTTTTGTCTTTCCTGGGAGAAATCACTTGCTTATTGCTTTTGTTTACTTAATTTTACTTTATAGATAGTCCTCGCCTTGCAACTGCCACTGAGCCCTAAATTTATGTTGCTAAGGGAGACGTTTGTCAAAGTGAGCTTTGGGCCCCATTTTACAACTCGTCTTGCCACACAAGTGAAGTTTTGCCGCCGTTTTACAGCCTTTCTCGCCGCGTTTGTTAAGTCAATCCCTGCAGTTGTTAAGCTAGTTAACACGGTCGTTAAGCGAATCGGGCTCCCCCCCCCGTTGACTTTGCTTGTCAGAAGGTCACCAAAGGGGATCGCGTGACCCTTGGGGACACTGCGACCGTCATAAATACGAGTCAGTTGCCAAGTATCTGAATTTCAATCACGTGAGGATGCTGCAACTGTGAAAAATGGTCATAAGTCAGTGCCGTTGTAACTTTGAACTGTCACTAAACACACCGTTGTAAGTCAAGGGCTTCCTCTACATGCATTTATTTAAATTTGTTAAATATTATTAAGTAATTATAAAGAATCAGGCTAAGCATAAAACCCAGCTAACTGCATTAGGGCTTAGCGTGTATTACTTAAGACTGTATTACTATTCTTCTTCTCTTCCTTCGTATTACCTATCTCCTCCCACTTATGACTATAACCTTGTTGCCTTCATGATTTATATTGTTTTATTTAGTTTCCTAGTATGATTTGATTGCTTATTTAGTATCCTATGGCTATGATTCAGTGTTGTGTCTTAGGATTCTTGATGAATATATTTTTTATGTACACTGAGAGCTTATGCACCGAAAACAAATTCCTTGTGTGTCCAATCACACTTGGCCAATAAAGAATTCTATTTTATTCTATTCTATTCTCCAATTTTCCTTCCTTCCTTCCTTCCTGTCTGCCACCACTCTGCTAAACAACTAATTTCCACAACACTGTCAAGCTATTTAGTAAGACTATATAACTGTGATTAGTATTATTAGCTTATGCACTGAAGGCAAATTCCTTCTGTGTCCAATCACACTTGGCCAATAAAGAATTCTATTCTATTCTATTCTCCTTTCCATTCTCTCTCCGATTTTCCTCCCTTCCTCCCTTCCTTTCCTCCCTCCCTTCTCCTTTCCATTCTCTCTCCGATTTTCCTTTCTTCCCTCTCTTCTCCTTTCCATTCTCTCTCCGATTTTCCTTCCTTCCTTTCCTCCCTCCCTCTTCTCCTTTCCATTCGCTCTCCAATTTTCCTTCTTTCCTCCCTTCCCTCTCTTTCCTTCCTTCCTTCCTGTCTGCCACCACTCTGCTAAACAACTAATTTCCACAACACTGTCAAACTATTTATTACGACTGTATTACTATTCTTCTTCTCATCCTTCCTATTACCTACTTATGACTATAACCTTGCATCGTCACGATTTATATTGTTTTATTTAGTTTCCTAGTATGATTTGATTGCTTATTTAGTATCCTATGGCTACGATTCAGTGTTGTGTCTTAGGATTCTTGATGAATGTACTTTTTATGTACGCTGAGAGCAGATCCCACCAGATTCCTGGAATTTGGAGCTGGGGGTCGGGGAAAGCGACACGCACTCACCTCCACTGGCATACTCCATGACGAGGTACAGCGTTTTATCCGTCTCTATGACTTCAAATAATTTAACTGAAAGGCAAAAAAAAAAGGGGGGGGGGGGGGGGGGAGAAAGGTGGAGTGAGATTAGAAACACCTGGTCAAAGAAAGAAAGCGGACACACCAGGCTCGGGAAGAGAGAGGAAACGCGGCTGCAGGTTAAGAAGAAGCCATTACAGGGAGTCCTTGGCTTACAACCACAACGGAGTCCCAACATTTCCGTTGCTAAGCGAGACAAGTGAGGTTTTCTTGCCGCATTTTTTAAGTGAATTACTGCAGGGAGCCAGCGAATGCTGCGGGTCTCATCCCTGAGGGAAATACCCCTGGTGGGACCCAGAAGAAGGGCCTTTTCCGTGGTGGCCCCCTCTCTCTGGAACATCACCCCCCCCCAGAGATTAAATTAATTGGCCCCGTCTCTAATTCTCTTCCGGAAGGTGCTGAAAACCTGGTTCTGCCAGCGGGCCTGGGGAACCCAGAGCGGGATGGAGCCCATTGAATGGCTTGTGTGAGGTGCTATCGCCAGGACGGGTGTGTGTGTGTGTGTGTGTCATTTTATTATATTAATTGATTACAGGACTCTTATTAGTTTTATTGCTTTTATATGAGGCTTTATATTCTGTAAACCGCCTTGAGTTGCCGTGGGCGAATGGGTGGCAATATCAATCCCCTAAACTAATAAATAAAAACAAATCAATACGTCAAAACTTGTCTCGTTTTACGACCTTCCTTGCCGCGGGGGTTAAGGGAATCGCTGCAGTTGTTAAGTGGCACCCGTCGTAAATAGGAGTCCGTTGCCAAGCGGCTGGATTTGGATCCCGTGACCCTGGGGATTCTCCAGGGGTCGCAAGTGTGAAAAATGGTGGTATGCCACGTTTCCCAGTGCCGTTGTAACTTCCAAACGGTTGTTAAGTCGAGGACCACCGGTAGTCAGCCCGTGGCGAGTCAGCCAGGGTGAGTTGTCCTAGACCCTCCCGAATCTTTTTTTTTTGCCACCGGACCTCCCACCACCCTGGAAAAAAAAAAAAAGCACTCGCAACCTTGCCGACCGGCTTCTGACAAGCAAGAATTTGTTTGTAACTTTGAACGGTCGCTAAATGAACTGCTGTAAGTGGAGGATGACCCGTGGTTGGGGGAGGGGTGGCAGACCCCAACTCAAGGGGCTCCTGGAGCCACGAGGAGGTGGCGGTGGGGCTTTTCTACGGCCACGCCGCAGAATTCCGTGGTTTCCAGGATCGGGATAGGGGACAAGGGAGACTCCCATTCTCCAGATGTGCCAGATGTGCGGGAAATGAACTTTCTCAAGCTCCAGGCAGCAAAGCCAGATGTGGAGAGCAACGAAAGGCTGGCGTGAGGCTTGGCAGGCCAGGCCCATCTGCTGCTTGCTGCCATGACTGGCAGATAAGGAAGAGCGACATCTGGGAGTGGGGAGGGAAAGAAAAAAAAGAAGGGAGGGGAGGGAACCGTGGCTAGCATTCTCACCTATGTTCGGGTGATTCAGAACCTTCATTATTCGCACTTCCCGGAAGAGCTGGAGGAAAAGAGGAGGAGAAAAAGCCACAGGGGAGAGTTACTCACAGGCCTCTTAATGGCTGTGCTCCCCTATCTGGAAGCAGCCTTACACACACACACACACACACACACACACACACACACACGCACGCACGCACACACGCACACACACACACGCACACACAACCATGGGGTCTTCTGGGTGTGCTGAAACTGCAATTCCCAGAATTCCTCTCCTGGAACCAAAACGCATGGGGAGGAGGGACTTTGCGGAATGCTGGCTGGGGAGTTCTGGGAGTTGAAGTCCACCCACAAGAAGGGAAGGGAAGGAAGTCAGAGGAGAGGAGAGGGGAGGAAAAGGAAAGGAAAGGAAGACAAGAAAGAAGGGAAGGGAAAAAGGGAAGGGAAGGAAGACAAAAGAAAGGAAAAGAGGGGAGAGGAGAGGAAAGGAAGATAAAAGGGGAAAGGAAAGGGAGAGAGGAAGGAAGGAGAAAGGAAGGGGAAGGGAAGAGAAAAAGAAGGAGAGAAAAGAGAAAGGAAAGTAGAAAGGAATGGAAAAGAGAGGAGAGAAAAGGAAGATAAAAGGGGAAAGGAAAGGGAGAGAGGAAGGAAAGAGAAAGGAAGGGGAAGGGAAGAGAAAAAGAAGGAGAGAAAAGAGAAAGGAAAGTAGAAAGGAATGGAGAGGAGAGGAGAGGAGAGGAAGATAAAAGGGGAAAGGAAAGGGAGAGAGGAAGGAAGGAGAAAGGAAGGGGAAGGGAAGAGAAAAAGAAGGAGAGAAAAGAGAAAGGAAAGTAGAAAGGAATGGAAAAGAGGAGAGGAGAGGAGAGGAGAGGAGAGGAGAGGAAAGGAAGATAAAAGGGGAAAG